AAACTATATTGCATGTCGTACACCATCAAACATTTTGAATTAAAGTTATATTGATCCAACAGAATTCCAACGGTCAACGAATATGTAATTACAGTTAGCCTTACACAATGTTATACCCGGTGACCTACAAAGTTTGCAAAATTGCTTGTCATATAATTAATTAGGCAAACTACAAGTACAGCCTTTGGGGCAAATATACTGGAGATAAAGGATGTTTTGTACTCAACGACCTTTGCAGAACGAAAAGGAAATTACGACATGGCAACGATTACGTTAATTTATTCCAATGTTATCATATTTAAGGCGTCGACCAGGAAGAAGTTGAATCATAACTGAGTAAGTGGGCAACGTGTTTACGATTCAAGTTGCTTTGTTTAAGATTCAAAGATACAATAACAGGAAAGAGAATTGAAGAAGTAATCTGTATTACAACATGAAGAGAGATGAAAGTGGCAGTATCTCAAAACAGAATCACTCCATCGAAGCCATTCTAGGGATGATTCCAACAAAAAAATCACCGACAAAAATGAGAAAGTCTTTTATTTCATATCGGGAAAGGAATGCTGGTAAGAATGTTATATTAATTTCATATCATTGGGTATAAATTGAGTGGCGTTAATAATCCCCATCAAATTTGTTAACGTTAAATTATTAGCTAGAGATGACTCTCCAAATCTCATGGAAAGAACTGTGCCCAAAATATGTTCTTCTAAGTTTGTTTTGTATTGTAAAAAATCACGAGACACGAGACAATAGTAGACATTTACATCTACATTCTATAAAGAATCAGCTTTCTATAAAAAATATGCATTTGTTATGACTGAACTACCCAGAATGCCAATGAATTTTCATTTCTTCGAATAAAGATTTTTCAATTCGTAAGGAAAGAGTATAAGGAAAGCTAGCACTCAACTATAGAAGATGAACAGTTCACGAAGGACATTATCTGGAAGAGTCAGAGACAAACGAATGTTGTCTTTCACAGAATGTTTAGACACAATCATGACATGCAATCTATTATAATAAACATCGTTATTTTAACAATGATGCCAAGTTTGAGAGTGTATCAGGTTCAGATACATTTTTTAATGTGTGTGGTGTTGGTATAATCTAATTTTCTGCTCAATTGCCATTAGTAGTGTTTATTTACAATGTCCAGTAAATTCTCGACCTTAATCTTATACATCGGTTGTATTCGATATAAATATTTAACTGAAATTGAAACCTAAATATTATTGTCCTCCTTTTAATTTGGTTCTTACTTCTCAAATATAATCACAACGAAACAAAAATGAGTACAACTTCGCGAAAAATGGAGAGAAACTAAATCAGAAGTCAGGATTGTTTGTGAAAAGCTGTGTGAAATAAATAAAGGGAATCCTCTGCTGGCTCTGCACACGATTAAACAGGATCGTCTCTGCTCTTTTCTCAGGTATGAATGCGGTAAAAGGCAGACGAAGTAGACGAAGTAGAACCGCGTTTACAGCAACACAACTACAAGAACTCGAACAGGCTTTTGAATCGTGTCACTATCCTGGGATTGAGATGAGAGAGGAGCTGGCTGAGAAGATAAATCTACCAGAAGCCAGAGTTCAGGTATATATGGCTTAATTTTTTGAAATAATTTCGTTGCTCACAATTCCGCACAGCATGATTCGGTTCATAAGAGTGAAAAATTAACCAGCTGTTATAGAAGTGAAAAAACAATTCATCGGCTTTATATCATAATGAAGATCTTGTATTTCGAGGAAAACATTAGATATAACATAATTATTTTGCGAGTTATAACTTTATCATCTTGCCGTTTGCTGTTATCAGTTGTAAACATAGCTGTAAATTTATCAACATTGTAAACCCACGCACTTTGTTATAATGACTAAAGTTATAGTATACTTGACGCTAGTTCATTGCAAAAATACGAGATAGAATGATATAGATATGATTTTAAGCCATATTTTTGTGCTTGTTTTTGAGAACTAGCATTGTAGCAATGACTCAACGTCTTTTGAAATTAAAAATGTTCAACGCTATGTCTTTTGAGTTTAGCTACTTTTAGATTATATATTGTAATTTTATATAATAAGAAAATAATTATTTCCTGTGTTTGGTTTGTTCTAGAAGAGTTTTATAGATATTTACAGCAACTGTTACACGCTGTATGAGTTTCTAATGAATACATCGGCCCACAACAGCCCACGTAAATTAATGCATAACATCTCTCCATCGCGCTGAAATGAGCAGGATGGAAAAAAAACGTAATCTTAAGTGTGGGCATGAAGTATTTATCTTAACAATGTACATGCACGGACATGCATGCAGCCCTTGACTCTAGTGATGAACAGAACTCAGCCTAGTTACTCCATTTGTAGGTGTATAATATACAATTAGTATATGAGCAGTGAATACGGGCTTTTAGTTGAGCAAGCCTGGATATAATCCTATTGAAGATTAGTCATCCCAAGATGATTCGTTGTTGACTTTTTGCGTATAAAACTCATGCCTGAATACAAGTCTGACGGCATAAATGTTCTTAGATATAATGTATGTCCACCGTTATAATGTATACTAGGACCTAGGTCTTCTTCGTCCTTTTTGGCAAAAATACAAACATAACGAGCTTTTCAAGTTTTAAGAGCCAAAGGCAAAGGTTAACACTCCGTATTTTCTTATATCGATAGGTTTGGTTTCCAAATCGTCGGGCCGAACTGAAACGTATTGAGCAAGTGCAGACGACATTGACAGAGGATAGTCATAACATGTCTGACAACGACACAGTCATCACTCATTGTGGCGGTTATGAAGAAGGCTTTGAAGAACATAAAATTGATCGAGCTCATTCTTCATTTACAAGATACATAGCATTAGGTAACGACGGTAGAGATTCAGTATCCCATCCATACGCCTGTGTACCTGTTTTAGTATACAGTCCGAAAATACGCCACGATCCTTACGTTTAAAGATGGTAGAGAGTAAAATATTCATCCTATCTTTATTTTAACAACAACATTCAAACAAGAAGTAGCTCAGTATGGCTAATAGCAATGAAACATCTATTAGTTTATGTAATACTGAGTTTTATCGCAGTAAACTCCTGTGCTCTATTGATAAAAGCATATTATATTTCTACGTGGAACCTGCTTGCAATTTTAAAAGCTGGTTTACATGGATGTAAAAATACGTGAACACTACTTAAACCGCCTTCAGGACGATAGAAATTAAAACATTGAACGCATGTAATTATATTGTAAATATATTGTAAATAGCATCTTTCAAAGATTGTAAATTGTATATATTTTAGAAGTACTAGCGTTTGTCTACGGTATTTTGTATCATTTTCTAACAAGATTAAGATTCGTCTATGTCCTGCAAATCAGTCTCGCACACTCGACAAAGCACACACAATAATATATTTTAGTCATAATTCTAGAGAGCAAATCTACATGAGAAATCTTATCACTTTTCATTTGTCCCTATTGATATCCATGAAGGAAAACGTCAACATCTTGAAAAAAACTTATCATAAATCTATAATTTTAAAATAATTTTTAACTACCATCAATTTTATCACACACATGCACTTTGTTTAAACGTCCGCATAGCCCATGATATGTGGTTTTATAAACGGTCCAACATTTTTAGCATCAAAAGCTTCACATTTGACAGACTTAAAACCAGCCTTTCTAATAGAGCTTTCCGTATCACGCATCAAATTACACCCATCGCCGAAATAAAACCACCAAGGCTGATTCCACTTTTGAAGTGTCAGCAGGAATCCTTCACCTATAGAACAAAACCATTTCAATGGAACCATCTCAACTCCATAACAGGAAAGCCCACCGGTCGTTTCTCAGATGAGCAAGGCCGTCAGAAAACATTAGAGAATGACAAAGTTAAGAGAAATTTAAAAACGTTACGGTGAAGGACATACCTTTTACATGCTCTAGAAAATAAAATCTTCCTCCCTGAAGAAAAAAAGATGAAGCCGTATGAAGAATTTCACGAGAATGTTTGCGAAGACCTACACTGTGTACTTACAGGTTTTAAAACTCGAATGATTTCCTTCAAAGATTGTTCCACCGAGTTTACAGAGCACAAGACTAATGAACAGACGACCACAGACATAGAATGGTCAGCTATTTTTCTCATATCCTCAGCTGAGCCTACGATATACTCTTTCAATTGAACGTGAGGATAAAACTTCTTTGTGTGCTGAAGATAGTAATTCATGTAGCGATTAGGATCCACGGCAATGATTGTGCACCCACGTGGGTAAAACGCAAAATTCGCTCCAGTCCCAGCACCAACTTCGAGCACCTCGCCTTCCACTTCTTCCAAATGTTTTTCCATCGTTTCGAAAAGCTTTTTCTTCTTAAATCCAACTTCTCGATTATAAATTTTGGTGAAGAAATACATAATGACGGCAAAAACCGGCTTCATCATTGCAGCCACAATCTGCTTCATTAGTTTTCTTGTCGCAAAAACGACAATTATGATTAGTGCACACCACAGCAAGGTAGAGTAGGACAGCATGTTTGGAGAGAATATTGTTCAAGCTGTAATCACAGGATTAGAGGGTCTGAATGATACAAATTATTTTCTGTCATCGCGGCCAATTCTTACAATACCTTTGGGAATCCCATTAGAACGACCCGGGAGAAGATTTCATAACATATCCAACCACCCATGTAGTTAGAATACATTTAGCCCTCGCAGTCCGCAGTTTTTAAGATAATCCAAGTGAAATCAGAGATCACGTATATATTTCTTGCCTTGGAACAGGCCCAGATGCATTGGAATTGCGGTAAAGCAATCGCATTGGAAGAGAAAAGATTGATATGTTTTTTTGTATTGTTGCCTAACGATAAAAGGAAAGGTCAACGATTCATGAGACTGCTAACTCACAGAAGAGGGCCTTTTGAATGGAAAGCTATCTATTTAAGGAATAGGACTCTCGGTAATTGCTTCCTATATCATATGTCAACCGCTAAGACACAGCTAAAGATCTCATTCAGTTAGGATAAACGAGTAACTGTCGTGAGATACAAACAACGTAGTCTGGTCATTCAATATACAATTATGTTAAAAAACTTGCCGTTATCACTAGTGCTGCTGTCGAGTGTTGTTTATCTTGTATGCGTTAGCGCACAACAACGAATCAAAAAATGTCCTCAAAACTGTAAGTGTTATAGATCTAATGCTGCGAAAGGTTTGGACGTCGACTGTAGCAACCAAAGGCTCACTGATCTGCCATCGTTGCAGAAGAATATAGTAACCCTGTGAGTATTATTTACCTTGTTTTATGACGTTTATTGAATGTGCAGTCAGCGATATAACCAGCGTTGTCTCAAGCTATCGTCGACGTTTAACAGAGTATTGAATTTCAATGTTGTGAAGTTCCTGTTGAATGTAACATTGTCTGGTGTATCATCCAGAGTTGTTACTGGTGTTTGTGTTAGAGCACTTAGAGGGCTTATGCAAATCCTGCAATGCTTAGACTTCCCCTATGGCATGTGTAGGGCATTGTATTTTCGCCAAGCAACCAATAGCAATTCATACGAATGAAAATATATTCATATTCACATAGTTCATGACTATTCATGGGGATTTAACCCATATCATGTCATCAATCTACAAAGTAAACTCAGCGTTGTCTCAATGACAATGGTTTGCATGTGTTGGGCGAGATTTATTTCGTATTTGAAATCCAGTTTATACTCAAGATACACACGCAATCCATCAAAAAGAACTGTCTGAAGAAATCCAGACATAGAAACAAAAATGCAATTCACGGATTACGATAATGAAACTCAGATGTGATGAAGACTCAATCCATTCACATTTTGGTTAACGAGAGTAATAAAAAGCAGTAGTTACAAACTTACAATGGCTCAATAATCCCCACGTGAAATTTAATCCTTCATGTACAAGGAATATTAATTATATTATCCTTTCTTAATCCACACAAGCTCCATTATCCTCTCTTTGGATTTTGCCATGCATGCCAATATTATCTTAGATTTAAATAATCCTGCATTTTTCATCAATCGAACTACCGGAAATGGCGTGTTTGTGGAGTTGAGATCCGGATGACGGCGAAACTGGTTTCCATGCGTACAGGAGTGCCATTATCGCACCCGAAATTTGCCATTTTCTTTCATTTTGTTGTATAGTACTCTTTTAGTGCATAGCATCCCATAGTACTGTATATTAGTGCGCATTCTCTATAGTGTTATATGGCACAGCCACTGTATCTCTATGGTAATGTAATAAAAAGAAAGTAGCTAGTATATAGTGCTCTATAGCTAGTGTTTTATAGTGCTATATTAGTGTTGCAAAAGTAGTGCATATATTGTCGTATAGTACTGAAGAATAACATGATATATGGTTATATGCAGAGTAATGTCAGACAATCAAATGGTCCAGCTCTTACCGAGAAGTTTCACTCGGACGAAAAGGATTCAAAATATGTAAGTTCATCATCCTACTTTCAGTTCAGCACCCGTAAATTAAAAAAATAATACAAGTCTTCGTTTAAAACATATTTTCTCCAGATATTTATACAGGAACCGTATCTGGAGAGTTCACTGGGAGGCATTTCAAGGACTTAGGACCTTGCAAATTCTGTAAGTAATGTGTAGTTATGAATAAAGAACAGTTTCACTTCATGAAGATCCTCCTAGCTTTTATAGTTCGTTGAGTACTTGTTTTATGAACTATTCGAAAAATAGAGTGTAAAAATTTCCAATATAAACTGAAGTATATAGCATTATCTACCATCCAGGTCGTTGTTTGGTAATCAAATAACAGAACTCAACAATGGCACATTTAAAGATCTTTCGTCTTTGAAAAAAATGTAAGTCACATGATAATGCAACTCCAAACAGATATTTAAGAAAATGAAGAATAACTTTACTGCATATAGCTACTGTGTATTAGTTCAGAGATTACGTCAATTACGAAGCAACGGGGCTGAGTTGAAGCCATGTTTACTGAATAATCTCTTTTTTTCATAGATATCTTTACCAAAATAAAATCCGAAGTCTGAACACGCAAACATTTGTAGGCCTTTCATCCTTAGAGTTTTTGTAAGTATAGCTAGTATTTCGGCCGTAAAATGCACGCTCCGTTTGTATCGCAGGTCACCATACAGATCTCTTTCTAGATCACTACGAGATAACGACATTCAATACATTGAACCAGGAACATTTGCCCCACTCGTAAAACTAGAGTCATTGTAAGTGAAAATCATGCAGCAAATGCAATGTTTATGTACAGGATTATTGCATGCATGTTTAAGATTAACCTTAGAATGTAACCATGTCTCTTTTAAGATTCCTCTTCCGGAATAACTTAACGAAATTGACAAATGGTATGTTCCAGGGGCTATCATCCCTACGAACGTTGTAAGTGTGCAACGAACTTTGTAAAATTTCAAATGTATGCATGCAACCGTTCTTATAGAAAATGAAAATAAAGGTCCAGCACGTTAAGGAGTGTTGAATGATCTTAGGAATCTTGGAACTAACGTTTCGTCTCTATTTTGTCCCAGGATAATAGGTTTTAATCGAATAAGCGAGATTGAGAATGAAGCATTCCAAGGTCTTTCAGGTCTCACAGAATTGTAAGTCTGTTATTTTTATACGGCAAGCATCTGTGTTTTTCGTACATTATTCTTAAAAATGACCGTCGTACTACATTGTCAATGGTTACAGATATTTAGATAACAACAAGCTTGAAAGAGTGACATCGAGGATGTTTGCTGATTTAGTATCTTTGCGGAAACTGTAAGTCGCGATTTGACACATATGCCAAGTAAGACGTGATGGAGTTAACTACAGCGCATATTACTTTTATTTGCAGTCATATTTACCACAACGACATCAAGACAATCGACCCTGGTTCTTTCTTCCGCCTTCAAGAGCTTAACCTTATGTATACCACGAAAATTCGTTTTGATAAATTTCACCAACACTTTATAAGCGCGTATGTAATGCCTAATGCGTATCCGGCGTTAACAATTGATTTTCATGTATCTGTCGTTTTCTAGATCTGCGCACAATAATAGGTTGAATCTTATTACGCGAGGAACGCTTGCTGGCCTCAGAGCGGTGCGAGTTTTGTGAGTAATTGTAAAATAATTCAGTGTTAAATAATATCGCAGTCTGAAGGTGAAAACGTGAAGATTTGATGCTGTATACAGTTAGATTAATCTATCATCGATCCATCAAATATTTCACAACATTTTTACAGAGAATTTCAAGCCAACGAAATCGCACATATTGACTCAAAAAGTTTCTTAGATTTACGAGATTTGCGGACGCTGTAAGTTGAATTCCTTAGATTGATCAATCTCATAACTGACAGCATGATGACATTTATTTCGATACAACTTGGTCTATTGATATTTTTACCCATGTAGGTATCTTTACAGAAACAATATTAGTATTATCCTGAAGGATGCATTCCTTGGCTTAGAAAATCTGGTTGACCTGTAAGCAAACTTATCACTATATAATAACCATGTTTTTTTCACTTAAAAGTCTGAATACATGCATGAATATACATAATAGCGTTGCTATAAAAAAATTATGAACTCTATATTTGCGGTCTATGAATTAATGACTGAATGTAGTTATATAGGTTTTTTAAAAAAAAAAACCAAAGAAACTTCAAACGTCGAGGTTGCTTTCTGCACTTTCGAAGTCTTTACATTTTAAAATATCCCATAGGCATTTAGGCTTGAACATGATTTCAGAAATTGAGGACAACGCTTTTCAAGAATTAAAGAAACTAACAACACTGTAAGCATATAAAGTCTTCT